TAGTTCCTAGAGGCTGGGGAGAAATGCTTAATAAGAATAGGGTTTCTTTTTGGTGTTACGAAAATGTTCTGGAAATAAAGATGGTGTTTCTATTGTGTCCATACTAAATGCCACGTGAATTGCTCAGTTTAAGACAGTTTATGTTACATGATGTTTACCTCAATAAAATACACAGAAACAAAAGACTAGAATGAGAAAAAGATTAACTTGAAAAATCCATCTTAGTCATTAGAAGACATTATCAGCCAAATAAAAATAACCATTCAGAAAATACGGTCTTACAAGAGCCTCAAGAGTAAATTCATTTGTTCTCAAAGCAAAATGCATGCTCATCTCATAAACTGAGTATGCTACTAGTTATATTGTTCAAATTATATAGGTAACTGATCTAAATGACAACTAGATAACTTTTAAAATATAAACAACTTTAAAAGGCTGAGGGAAATGTACCAGTTTGGAATAAGCAGAAAATTCAAACTTGGAAGTTTACTGGCTGAATGACCTGAAGTAAGTCACTTAAATCTTGCTGAATAACAGTTTCCTCAAAGCTTAATAATGAATTTTACTACTTTCTTGTTAATATTTACATTACACAGTTATTAGGAGAAGCCCTCTTCCCTTCTACAGTCTCTACCTACATTCTCTCCTAGGTAAGTTCATCTGGTCCCATGGCATTTACAATTTTTAAAAATTATTTTATATGGCACTGTATTCATCTGTTCAAAATTCAAAAGGGACAAAAGCGTGTACAATGCAAAATCTCCCTCCCTCTCACCCTTGTTCCTTAGCCATGCAGTTCCTTTCCTTGGAGGAACCACTGTCTCTAATTATGTGGGTCCTTCCAGAATTAGCATAGGCTATCTTTTTAAACAAACGGTAGTATACTGTACACTGTTTACAGTTATTGTTTGAAATTGTGCTTTTTCACTTGTGTCTTGGAGATCATTCTACTGTAGTATATAAAGAATCTTCTTTGTCTTTTTTCGGGAATACCTTTTCCATTCTATAGATACATCATAATTTATTTACTGATTTACCGAAAGACATTTAGTTTCCAATCTTTTGCTATTACAAACAACACTCTAATAAATAACCTTGTATATCTGCCGTTTCACATGAGTGAATATATCTGCAGGTAAAATTCACAAAAACAGAAAAGCTTTAAGTTCTACTTCCATTCAATAGGGGTTCAAGGTACTGGGATATAGGAGTGAATAAAAAAAGATAAAATACCACCATTACATTCTAGTTGGGGACACAGACAACAAATAATTAAAAAACAAGTTCTATTGTTTATCCAGATAAATAATGAAAAGTAAAAACTAAACCTATATTATATTATACTCTAATATAGTATGTTAGAAGATGATAATGCTATGGAATAAAAACAGATAAGGGAAGAGGACTAGGGAACGCCAAGGGAGAGGGTTATAGTTTTTATAATAGATTATTACTTACATAATAGCTTATATGTTATTATAAATACATGATTATTTATCCATTAGATTGGAGGGTAGGCCTCATTGAGAAATGACACAGTAAGCCATGTGGATATCTAGGACAAGAGCATTCTGGGCAGAGAAAAGAACCCATACAAAAGCCCCGAGACAGAAGACTGCCTGGTGCTGAGAAGCAGTAAAGCTGTCAGCGTGACTGGAGGGGGGGGGGGGGGGGGGGGGTGGTTGATGGGAAGAGATGAGGGAACAGCTTGCTGGGCCTTGTAGGCCACCGTAAGGATTTAAGCTCTTTCTTTGAGTACAATGGGAAGTTCGTAAGATCTGAATCATGGTATCAATCATTTCCTTAATTGCCAAATGGAGAACACATTGTAGGGGGGGCAAAGTTGGAAGCAGAAAGATGATTTAGGAGGCAACTGCAAGAATTCAGGCAAGAGAGAAGGTGGTGGTGGCAAGAGTGGTCTTGCGGATGGAGGCAGCATCAAGGGGATCTGTTGATGGATTGCATGTGGAATGTCAAAGGAAGGAGTCCAAAATTTTGGCTAGAACAATTAGGGAAAACAGAGTTTCCATTAACTGCAACAGGAAACACAGTGTATGGAAATCTGGGGGATGATCAGGAGTTTTAATTTTGCAACTAGTAAGCCTGAGGTGTCTACTGGATACCCAAGTGGAGATGCTGAGTAGGTGGTACAGTGTAAAAGTCTGAAATTCAGGGGAGATGTTTAAGCTGGAGACATAATTTGGAAGTTTATACACTAATGATTACCAAAAATAGTCCTGATGGCACCCCTAAATTCCAGAGGCACATATCCAACTGCCTATGTAATTTCTTCATTTAGATACCTCATAGGAATCTCAAACTCAAGTTGTCAGAAATGAAATTATCAATTTTTTCCTAACCCCAAACTTGCAGTCTTGCCTGGCTCAGTGAATGGCACCACTACTTCACTATGTGGTTCAGGCCCAAACCCTAGGAATTCTTGATTCCTCTTTCTCCTTCACACTGAAGTCTAATCCAGCAGCCAGTTCGATCAACTCTACTCTTTAAATGACCCAATATCTGACCACCTTTCCCTACGTTCACCCTGGTGCAAACCATGCTCATCTCTTCCCTGAACTCCTGTGACAACATTCTAACTCGTCTCTTTCTTTCAGAGGTGGGCCAACTAAAGTCTATTCTCAATATACCAGCCATGATGATCTTTTGAAACATGAATCTGGTATCTGGCACGTGAGTCGGATCACATTTGGCTGTCACAGTAGACAGTGAATACTTGCTGCATGAATACCTGATGGATAAATGTATATTCACCTATGTTCTAAAGCAAGGTTAGCACACTTTTTCTATAAAAGGTCAGAGGGTAAATATTTTCATTTGTGTAGGCAATACGGTCTGTGTCGCACCGACGCTACTAAGGCACCGAAGCATTCGCAGACAGTACATTCAAAGAATGAGTGTGACCATGTTCCAATAAAACATTATTTACAAAAACAGGAGGTAGGTAGTTTGCTGACCCCTGCTTCAAAGTTTAAATACTATAGTAGCTTCCCATCACTCTTAGAACCACCATTAGAATAAAATCTAAATTCCTTATCTTGGTCTACAGGGTCCTGGAAGATCTAACCCATATCTGTCTTTCCTTCATCTCCTACTATTTTCCTATTGACTTATTTTACCCTTTTTTGCAATTTCTCAAATAATCTCAGCTTTTTCTGCCTCCAAGCCCTTGGTATTTGCTGTTTCCTCCCCCTGGAATGTTCTTCATCCAGATCTTTGCATAGGTCATTCCTCACCGTCTTTCCTCAAAAGCTACCTGATCAGAGAATGTTTCCCTGACAGTCCAGCTTATTTTCCAGTCCCCACGATTTTTGTTTCTCTTCACAATATTATTATCTGAAAATATATCACTTATTAATTTTTTGTTTACTTGTTTATTGTCTCCACTGAGAGGTATTTCTACAAGACAAGAATTTTGCTTATCTTGTCACTTTACCCACCATGACTACAATAAGGTCTTGTAAATAGCAGATGCCTAATATCTGCTAGATGCATGAATGGAACTAAAAGTATTTTAGAATATGTAGAGTGCCATCCAAGTAGCTGCACTTGTTATTCTTTTTGGAGAGAGGGGATGAGAAGTGAAAGGAAGGGAAAGATATAAGTTAGGGTGTTGGAGGAATATCACTGGCTTACAGTCGTGGGTTTGATTCCTTGGGCAAGCGTCTAAGTATCTGAGACTCAGCTTCCCTTTTTCTAAAAAAAGATGTCAATGTCTGGAAGTCGGTTCTAAGGATTGATGAGGTAATACCAAAACAAACAAACAAAAGTCATGAGACTCGATGTTGGTTCATTTGTCAAATTTTCCTTTTTTTAGCTGTAACGATGTATAGTGCTTAAGATACTTCTATCAATTATATGTTTTCAGAAACTGAATTTAACCTAAAAGAAAACTTTATTTTCAAATAACTTTAGGTATAAAAAAATAGCTGCAAAAATAGTACAAAGAGTTCCCATACACTCTTCACCCTGGAATTGAACTTTTTGAGTTCTAGATTTCTGTGTTTCCATTGGATAAAAGAAAAAGAGAAGCAGACTCATTTAGGCCCTAAATAATATCCGAGCAGCTTGACAAAGAGGTACAATTTCTAATATTTATTTTTAGGGAAGTGTCTCTGAATTGAAAACATTCAGTTTAATCATGTGAAACAGATAAAGTCCCCTAAGAGATTATGTAAACTAATGGCCAAATGCATCAGGTCTTTTCTTCTCATTCCTTAGGGGACCTGGCGAATTGTTAGCAATGTCACAGTGTATCCATTTTAAACAAAGTCAAACTATTTGCAAGTTTCTCTTGGATAGATTAACTTGATCCTTCTATAAACACAAATAGAAGGCAATATATCCAAAACATCTCATGCTTGAAGGGGTACTTGTAACACCAGTTCTATTTAGTTGCAATGATGCATTCAAATACCACTAGGTAATGCAACTGCTCAGAATTGCTGACAACACATTTGCTGCTAAACAAATAGACAATCAGTTGCCCAGGGTTCTTAACCATTCATGCCATCCAAACTCTTTGAAAAACTTCACTTCACTTGCTGATAAGATCACTCACTCATCAATGGCTATCTTCAAATGACCTTTTATTAAGGATATTAGAGAACAAAGTGTGACTGAAATGATGTCACTATAAACTGCTTCATACGAGGGGATTAGTTTATGTAGTAGTCAAAGCATGTATCTCAGCAGAATTCTCTTCAAAGACGATATTCATAATGTGAATAAAACAATTGCTAATAACCTTAATGGTTTTCAGCATATCTAAGAAAAACATGGATCTCTACCCAGAATTTTACATTAATCAATTTTAAAAATTTAGCCAGAGCACCTAGGACACTGAGGAAAAAAAGAATGAAATATACCCAAAATACCTATTAATCCACAAAGGAGAAAAGAACTAAGAAACAATATATTCTATAGATCTATACGATTATAAGATAATATATGTAATAAAATAGATATGTGAGATTAGATACCTTTTCTTCAGGTATACTGTAACGCACATTTTCCAGAAACACTGATGTATTTTCCACATTTGTATATCGTAAAAGAATATGAGCAAAATCTTCTTCACTGATAGTGCTCATCCCATTAGAGTAGGAAAGGAATTCTATTTCTAGAACTTCTGTCTGTAGGTTATCCATGAATCTATGACAAAAATATAGAAAGAATGAATAAGATAAATGAAGAGTGATGGCAACAGGTGATACTTAGCCTCTCAGGGCTCTGGCTTCCTCATCTTTAAACTGGGGACAACAAAAAGATCTTTCAGGGTAGTGATGAGACTTAAAAGAGTTATTGTGTAGTGCCTGGTGTTTACTATAGAGGACACTACATCCATGCTTATCACTGTGGCTTATACTTCCTTAGGAGTATACAGGAAATAATCCAGATATCCAGGCATTTCTCATCATTCAGTAACTTCCTGTTATACTTATCAATATAATGACTAGTATACAGGTACTGATGGAAGCGCCTGTTTGTTAGAGACAGTATCTTCAGCTAGGATGAAATCAGCGAAGAGGTGAGTTTTTCTGCACCAGATGATTCTTTCTAAAGACCTTTCTGACTTTAGCATGCTAATATTTTTCAAAACAAATATAAAATTAAGCTCACCTATAAAAATCTTCAAAGTTGAGCTCAGCTTTTCCTTTCTTTCCAAAAAAGTGTACAAGAAGTGTAGTATCTGTTACTAAACTTGTAATGTCATCAGCACGCTTAAAAAATCACAATTTAAAGGTTAGCTGCAGTAAACAAACAATAGGGATACCCAATGTCCCTCAAAGAATTTTATCAACATATAAATACCAAGAACATGAATATGTTAAAATTAGAATGAAAATCGTAAGGCTGCATTAATAAATGCCATTACAGTTAAAATGAAGTTCAATATTTGAAAATAGAAACATGACTGAAATTGATCTTTATCCTAAAAAACTTTAAAGATGACTATATTTTAGGAAGTTTTCAACCTCAAATTATGCATATAGAATACCTGTGTTTTAAATTATCTAAAATAGTTGAAATCTTTTAGTAATCACCTAAATGCTTTATCTTTAAGTCATTTAGTTTGGATTTTCCTAATCAACCTAAAAAAAATCAGTTTTTTTAAAGGATGTTCAAAAAAGGTAAATTCTTCAGATATATGAAATGTATGGGGCCGACAAAAGAATGGTCTTATGCTTCACAAAATAGTTTCCTTTGAGCATGATACTTTCCTATTGTATTCCATATTTATGATACTTTAAATAGAAGATACCATATTTTGAAAGAGAAACTATACTACTATTATTTTGGAATTTACATAATCTATAATTTATTTTAAAAGAAAAGTCTTACATTATTTTTGAATGGATAAGAGAATAATTCCAGAGGACTTTTTCCTTCAAGTTCCAACAAGTGTATTCTTAAAATCACTTAAGTCTAGTCCTTATAAAGTTTAATGGCCTATGAAAATAGTCCTTCTTTCCTTTAATGTGGTGACACAGATTTCCCTTTCTTTTTTCTCTCTCCCCTTCCATCCCTTCTCTTCTTCCTCTTCTTTCCTTCCTTCCTCACTTCCTTCCATTAACTCATATCTATCTTATAAACTCAGGTACAAAAATCATAAAATTCAAATGATTCTAACTCTCCCATATATTATCCTGGGAAATATAAGAAAAATAAGAGGTTAAATAATAACTAACATTTTCTGTATTAAAAAAAAATAGCTGTAAATGTCCATCCAAAGGTACATATCTGAAATGTTACCTCTTGGCCAGAATTCTATTTCAGAGAAAACGTAAGAAATAAAAAGTATATACTTCTCTACAAAGGATAAGTTGTGTTCTATGATCCCTGATGGAAAGTCTCATCTTACCCATTGGCCACACACTTTTGGTAATCTTTTGATTCCTTATAGCTCTCTTCCCAATTTTTCATCAAGACAGCCTTTTATCCTTTAACATTTGTTGGATCTTTATTTCCCTTCTCCCTAGACCAAATATTATTAACTTCTAATGACTAGTTTGGTGTTACAGAGAGTACATCTTGTGATTGGTCTTTTTCCCTCCTATGTGCCTTTTAATTCCTGTTTTTAAGTGGTCTCTTTGCTACTTTGATTACTCAGGTCTCTCTTAAAACCTCCAACATGTAGGGTATCTTCTACTTTAAATTATCTAAAATTGTTGAAATTCTTTTAGTAAATTGTGTAGTCTTACTTAGGTTTGTTTAGCTTGTTTTCCTCAGTAATCTTAGGATTACATATATATATTATCTAGCATATAACCTCCTTAAAATTGTTTTGAAAGATCTCTACTTAGTTTAAGTTTGCTGACAACTCCCAAGTATTTTCAGGAGTTGGAATAACTTAGAAGTTTCCTATCTATCTCCAACGAAGTTCTTTGAAGACCTGATTGCCAGGGAGAAAATAACAGCCCGGAAGCCAGGTGCCACATACTGTCGTATGCCTTCCTGAACAAGCTTATAATGGATGTTGAAGAACGTTAGTGGTGCCAGCCTTCCAGGGCTCTGCCTGTGACAACAGACTAGGGTAATTCTGAGTAGTTCTCAAAAGGCACTATTACTTTCACCAGTAGCTTTCTGGTGCGGAGGCAGACTGCTGTTAAGGACAGGATTTAAAATCAGAAGACCTGAGTTCAGAGTTTTTTGACCTTTAGCTTCCTTCTCTGTAAAATAGGCATAAACCTATCTACGATAATGATTTTGAAGATAAAATTAGACTCTGAGTGTAAATGAAGCATACAAATGTTATTATTGGCAGTCACAAGATGCTTTGGCATATAGCATTAAGACCTTTGGGGAAAAAAGGAGATATCTCATGTCAATTATAAACATTCCTTTGTGATTGTGTATGATCAAGTCTAACCCATTATTACCCATGGAATAGCTTAAGTTGGGGGAGAAAATATTTGAGAAGGCAGGCCTAATGGAGCACAGGCGTGGACGCTCTATCGAATCAGCAGGCAACATTAGGAACTGGGGTATCCATCTAGAAGCTAGAGGACTGGAATGCGGCGGGGAGATAAAGTTGATCAGAAGACGGGCCATGGTGTTTTAGACAAGTTACTGACTTCACAAATAAGCAGTGGGGTGGTGAGCACGTAAGATGATGAGCCCAAGAGTCAGATTCCTGGCTTTGAATCCTGATGTTTTTCCTTATTAGTTAAGTGACCTCGGTGAAGTTAATCTCTCTGAGGATATTATTACCCTCAGTAATAACAACAGTACCTATCTTAAAGTGTTGTTGTGAGGATCTGGTAACACATGTAAATCATTTAGCACTATAACTGGCATATTGTAAACGCTCAACAAATATTATTTATTTTTGCCAAATCAATATATTTCAAGAAGTTGAAAAAGGACTAGACAAGACAGAAAAGATAATAATGTTGAAGCTTCATGCAAAAAAAAGTTTTACATGGCACACTCTTACTTTTTTGTTAACTGAAACTACACATGTTATATAGATCTGAAAAAAAAAAATGCCTTCAAATGAGAGGTCACAGGAACACCCAAAGTTAGTGAACTCAGCTAACATAATTATGAAATGTTTTCCTTTAGTGCTGTGATGTCCTTTACCTCAAAACCTAACACAGTGAAATGAGATGGCTTTGTTTCATACAGGTTTTCAATAATGACCTCATTCTTCCAGCTTTTCTCATGCCCACTGAGCAGAGCAGATCTTCGTTTACAGTCTTTCATCATCAAAATCTTATTAGACTTAGGTTGCACTTATCCAGATAATCCAGAACCACAGAGGCATAAGTAACAGTGTGACATTAGAGAAAAAAAATTAGAAAATGGAAATGGTGAAAACTTTTCTCGCCCCATTCAATGAAACAGAGCACTGCTGGGAGTCATTGAAAACCATACCAGTGTCCTTAGTATCCTAACAGTGTTATATAACTTAAATCACAGGGGAGTTGGGACAAAAATAGAGACTTTATCCCTTTGATTCTTGTGCCCATTGTTAAAATAAAATGAATTCAGGTGTTTTCATAACAAAGCAAGAAAAAGCCACAAAAGAATCCCCATGGGCCATTTACATGAAAGGCCCTTATCTTTGTTGTGATTAAAAATTACTTTAAATGATTTCATCAAAAATAAAATAGATAAATTTGCATGGAATTAAAAATATGTAAGATATTACAGATTTTTAAGATACCTTTAACATATTTTTATTGATTATAATGGGATAATAATCATATCAAACTCTATCCAAAGGGCAGGGGGGAGGGAAATCAAGTAGATTTCTAAGCTTTCTTTCTGAACCAATTTGAATCCTAAAATACTTACAAACAATTCAATGTTACGGTGGCATCAGCAGTAACCTATAAGGAATTTCAATGAGTTGTAACTTAATTAAAATTAATTCTCAATTATCCTCTCTAATGTGGGAGGGTAGTAAGAGATAATCCCCAAATAATGATTTTATTTTAGAACACAATGTAAGTTTTGTTTTCGTCTTTCTTCTATCAGATTTACTTTCATAATGTTTGAATCAATTCATTAATTAATTTAGTAGCTTATGATTATAATGTGGATTGATTACAGCCAATGGTATGCTAGTAAAATAAACTAGCTCTTTAGGGAAAAAAAAAAAAAGCTTGATTTGTAGTGTTTGCCTATTTCTATGGTATTAATACTTCTATCATGGCCACTTTCAAGTACCAACAGGATGTCACGGATGTTGAGTTGGGAAGAGATGTACAGAATTAACTCTAGGAAGCCATAAAAGCCAGCTCCAAGCACACCTCTGACAGTTTCCATCTCGAAAAGGTCTTATGCATACCATGTAATCTCTGAGTGTATGTAAGAGCTAACTGGTCTTCTGATATTAAACCTCCCAAGATCTGAATTAAATTCAACATCAAATCAGTGGATTGTGTCTAATTGTGAGAATTTCTAGCAGAGTTAAATTAGATTAAAGATAGGCTGGAGGCTGAGGTGGACAATCTAGGATGGAGAGAGAGCAGTGACATGACTGTTAGTTTGAAGCTAGGTCGCAGTTGGCTTGTACGACTCTTGGGCCAATGTCCCCATTTGCTCTTGTTTTTAGGCACTGACTACTATGTGCCTGCATAAATGATTACAGAATTAAGTACTTCTAAAATACCTTACATGAAACATCTATTACCACTTTATGACTAAAAAATGGTTCAAATTTAAAAGGTAATTTTAAAAGGTTATTTACTGGTCATAATTACATCATATTTACATATCAGAAGTAAATTAGAAAAAGGGCAAAATGCTTTATTTGTTTTGGGATTTTAAAATTGAACACAACTGACAAAATTAACATTTCCAAGTATCTGTCCCAGTCTAGAGGTGCCAATTGAGTAACACTACATATGGATAACAGAAGTCACACCTGATTTCAGTTTACTTCTCTAGATATTTTTAAGTGTAATTTTTAAAAGTCAAACTTCAGAAAAAAGAAATGAGAAGCCAGCTTTAAAGAGAAAAATAATGAAAAATATCTCAGTATTAAGACTGATAGTGAAGTTTTAAAAAATTCTTAATAGGATATATGAAATCGTGTTTAATGTAGAAGACAAAGCCCATCTTTTAAAATGACAAATCCCTAAGAACGAAACAAAACAAAAACCCGAAACAAAATGACAAATCCCTAGCAACAACGGCAGCATGCTGAGTGGGCGGGGGGGAAGGGGGGAGCCCACCTGAGTGCAGCGATAAGGTGCATGTCTCTATGGAATTCAGAAACAATGATGAATAACAGTCAGTCTGTTTTTAGTTTTCTATGCATTGGCAATCCAAAATAATGTCAAGTTAAAATATTCCTCCCTTCCTTGACTGACTGCCCCCACCATACCTCCCTTACTCGCCATTGGTAGACGACACACAACTAATATTCGGAAATTTAATGTTTAAATCTACCATAACTCTAAAGCACTAGCTGTCTTTTACCAAGTTAAAAGTTGCAGCACTTCATGTAACATGGCAAAATTATAAGGTTAAAAGATTCAGTGAAACTGTAAAATAGTATTCTCAAATTTCTGAAAGTGATCCTTAAATTGAAAATAGCGACATTTCTTTTTAGTTAAGTTAGAAAGGAGAAAGGCACGTTTTCTACAACAAGCAAGCTGACTTAACATAGACTGTTACAGGTAACCTTGCAGCCCCTGCCAGCACGGCTGACATACTCGAATCTATCATTTATATATAGAAATTACTGCTTTACTGAAGAAAAGGGAAAATACAAAATTATTTTTGGTTTCATTATTGTAACTCTAAAATGAAATGAAGACTAGTTTAACAAAATGGCAAACAGTACAAGGTCCTGGTTGACGTTTAATTATACCTCTGCGAGGTCTGAAAACAGTGCCTGGCTTGTATTACGTCTCAGTGTATCCCAATAGCTTCTGGAGACAAGTTCCTCAGCATCTGTTTTAAGTACCTGTAGAAGTTTTAAGAAGTACATCTGAAATCTAAAGAATAGTCACAAAGAATGATAATTTATACACTTTTAAGTCTCTTCTAGCCAACCTTGAAAAGAAAACACATTAGCTTACCTGTTTTGTTTTCTGCTGCGCACAACAGTATTGTATTACATTGCTGGTAAACCCAGGGTATTTTCAAAGGTGTAATGGTATATAACCACTATTTCCACGTACAATGTGGCTCTGTCAAAAAGGATCACATTCCTCAGCCCTCCCCCATGTTGTCTACTGAAACATGCATAACTTCTAAGAAAATGTGAAATAAAAATTTTATTCACACCTATGTGAAGTAAATTCATTTGGACAGTATTTTGGTAATTTTGTAGCAACCTATAAAAATCATGCTTAATTTAAAAATCAATTATTGGCTAGTGTACATCGTGTCAGTGCATCAAAGAAAATGACCACATTCATATGTAGAGACACAAAATTTAAATTAATCTAACAGTTGTCAAAAAGAAATATGCCAGTTTAGGTTAAACCACTCAAAACTACTCAGGGATTTGGTAGGTATGTCTACTGTGAATAAATAAGGTACTTTCTAACCTTTTGCAAGGATAGGACACTAGCTTCTGTCTCAGTGTTGGCTAATCTGAGGAAGGTGAGATCACAATTAAGGGCAGTCTAATCTTCATATGAAAACAGAACTACAAGCTTAACTTGGGTCTCTGTAAACAAACACAATTAAATGCAGTTTCTGTCAGGATTTATCAGGGAAGATTTCACATGTTCAAAGGCTTGGTATTCCTGTTATTGTGAGAAGAAAATGCTGCACGATGTACGTAGGAGTGAGTGTCTAATGATGAGGAGAACTTTTATTTTTGTGTGTGTTAATTTTTAAATCTGGTGCCACTAACAAAATTACAAGGTGTTTGGGAGTTATCTCAAAAAACTAAGCTTTAGTTCATTATTATTAATCAGAAAAACACTGCCTACTGCCCATATTTTAATAAAATCTTAATAATAAAGTGTTATTTAGCAGGAATCACTTATATAAAGATAGACATACTTATTACCATCAGTGTAAATGCAGCAATATGTTAGAGAATCCACTCACCACACCCTCTAGTAACAAAACAAGCTTTAACTAAGCAGTTATAAGCCAAGTAAAATTAGCTGAATTTAGAACAAAGTTCATTTTTTTTTATATAAGTATGGTAGAATGTCAAATGTTAACTAGATTAAATACTCTGCAAATATTATCTCAATATTTTCAATTTGGATACATTTTTTATTGTAACTGAAAAGGTCAGTATATGATAAAGAAAGGGATTATTAAACCTATCAAGCTAGAAAATCAGGCTGACTACACTGTTATTTGAAGGGCAACAAGAATGATTGATTCACTTTGTGAAGCAATGCCTCCTTCCTTTTTCCAGCACTGGTCACCATCACCACTCACACACTCACATATGTACATATACCAACACTGATGACATCAGAAGGATGTTCACAACATATTAGGGGAAAAAAGTAGTTTGACAAACTATATTGATATGGATCTCTATAGAAAAAAATACATTTTCTGAGCTTAGAAAAGAAGTAAATATATTTGGATATATCGATTATCTCTGGTGAGATTAGGATATGTTTTATTATCTTCTTTTTGCTTTCCTATATTTTAAAATATTTTAAGAATGGGGCGCCTGGGTGGCTCAGTTGGTTAAGCAACTGCCTTCGGCTCAGGTCATGATCCTGGAGTCCCGGGATCGAGTCTCGCATCGGGCTCCCTGCTCGGCAGGGAGTCTGCTTCTCCCTCTGACCCTCCACCCTCTCATGCTCTCTCTCTATCATTCTCTCTCTCTCAATAAATAAATAAAAATCTTAAAAAAAATAAATAAAAAATATTTTAAGAATGTTTATCTATCAGGATCATATACTACTTTTTTCAATAAAAAAATCTTATTTAGCTTATTGGTCCCTCCTGCAGAAAGCTTTCACACTCAACATTTAGCTCCAAAGATTAAATTATGATAGAATATATAACTGAATTGCTATAACTGCTTATATATGCTGTTTTATACAGGCAGTCTTTTAGATTAGAGTTTCTGAAAAAAGGAACAATAGTCTCACAGCAACTGTTGCTATTCTTAGTATTAAGGGAAAAAAAGCTCATGTATCCGTGATTTTCTCAGCACAGTCACAGATTCCTAGATGTGTGTCTGTTCAGGAGCCAGTATTTAATTTTTCAGTGGCTTGGGTGACGGAATTGAGAGTAAATTTTCAGAACATGCAAAACTAGTAGAAAACTTTAATGTCAGAAAAGTATAACACAATATTTAAAATAAATTTAAAGTAGCAATGAAAATCAGAATAGATTTTACAGCAAGAAATGCAAATAAAATACAAAACCAGAATATACGCCTACACACTAAGGAAAGACTGAGAAGAGAAATGCCCAAATATCACTAACTGAGCACTGTGATGGCTATGAAATAGATATTATAATGCTCTGATATGTAAATGTAGGAAAATTTGCAAAGACTTCCTGAAGTCTTCTCAGGGTCTTTGATTACTATACGAGCTTTAGGCCTTTTTACTAGAATGTTAAGGTAGGTGTAGACTTTTACTAAAAAAGGTAGAAGAAGACATAGATAGTTCAGAAGAACTTCAAAAATGGATGGCACAGGCAAAATGATGTCCCAAATGTACTGTATTCTGTAAGCCTGACACATTTTTTGCCTAAGTTTAGAGTCTCTTATTAGTAGAACTTCCTTTAACTTTGAAGTTTCGGTCAAGAATTCCCTATGCCTTTTTGGCTGAGCCAAAGTAGGATCTTACTGAAGGCATTTCATGACATTAATAATAGAAGGGAAGAAGGAGCTATGGTCTGAAAAATTCTTAGGTTGAAATCCTAACCTCCAAGGCGATGGTATTAGGAGGAGGTGGGGCCTCTGGGAGGGGAGTAGGTCATGGGGGCAGAGCCTTCATGAATGGGATTAGTGCCCTTATAAAAGAAGCTTGAGAGAATTCCTTTGTCTCCTTCCCACCATGTAAGGACATACTGAGAAAGTGCCATTTATGAACTAGGAAGTAGGCCCTCATCACCCATCACACTGCATCTGCTACATGATCCTGGACTTCCCAGCCTCCAGAACAATGACAAATGTTTGTTCTTTATAAGCCACCCAGTTTATGATATTTTTATTATAGCAAAATGAATTGACTAAGAAGGAAAGAAGGAAGGAAGGAAATCAAAGAAGGGAGAAAGGAAAGACAGAAGGAAAGAAGAGAAAAGGAAGTTAGGAAAAAAGGACTGATTTCAAGAAGGGAATATATCACTGTGGTAAGCAGAATAATGGCTCCCTAAAGTTGTCTGTGTGCAGACAGGTAAATACCCTAGTTACAGTTAGAATCTGAGAAAGATTATACTCCGAGATTAGGCAAACTGGGAAAACAAAAACAAAATAGCAACCCATAGAATCAGACAGTAAACTGTCTTTACTATTAGTGATACTCAAAACACAGAAAAAATAAAAACAATAAAAAAGCCTATATAATCTGTGCCATTATGACAACTGTGGCCTGAAAAACTATAATGTGAGACTTGTAATTTAAAGTTACATAGGACTGCAGTTTTCCACAGAAACACACACACATAAACACACACCCACATACACCCACGCACACCCCTTCCTGGAAAAAACACATACTTAGCCCAGTCCCTAATGAATCTCCACAGACACATTCCAACAAATATATACTCAAAATACAAAATTACTAAACACATAAGAACATAAACCACCATAAGTGAGAACCAACAGAAACAACAAACAATAGAACAAGACCTGCAGACTTCAGATATTGAAAATAGTAGGTATGGAATACAAAATAAGTTTAATAAGCTTAAGGAATATGAAGCTGTATTTGAAAGTATTTTTCAGTAAGAACAGATGACCAAAAATTAGTTGGTTGATCAGAAAAAGAACCAAATAAAACCTCTGGACATTAAAGATGGAACTACTGAAATTTAATATCATATTATATACAGCTAGGAATAAAATTAGTTAACAGGAATATAACATGTATAAGTTATAGTGAAATGCAATGTGAAAAGATAAAAAATATGGCAAATTATTAAAGAGAAGTTAAGAGACATAGAAGAGAACATGAATATCTATGAAAGCTCCAGAAAGCAATTAACAAAGAAAATGGGAAAGAGACTATAATATCCAAAGAAATATTGGCAGTGAATATTCAAGAATTAATGAAAGAAAACAATCCCCATATTTGAGAAGCCTGGTAAATTTCATGATAGATAAAGGCAAAAAGAGAGATACACTGTAGTAAAATTGTAGAATACCAAAGGCAAACAGAATCTTAAAAGTAGGTAGAAAGAAAAACAAGATCAACTACAAAATAGTAATTAGACTCAGAGCTGACCTTTCAATTTCAATAATAGGAACCAGAAGACTGGAATGATATCATTTGCTGAGAATAAATGTCAACCTATGATTATATACCTAATAAAATTATCTTCCCAAATAAGAGCCCAGATAAATAAAGATAAAAAATGAATTCATAGAATCAGAATAGATTGGGAGTTGCTAGAGGCAGGTGGTGGTAGTGTGGGGTGGATGAAGATGGTTAAAAGGTACAAACTTCTAGTTATAAGATAGGTAAGTCCTGGGGATGTAAGGTACAGCATGGTGACTATGATTAATGATATTGTATTGTATATTGGAAGTTGCTAAGAGAGTAGATCTTGAAAGTGCTCATCACAAGAAAAACAATTTGTAACTATCTGAGGTGACAGAGGTCAACTAAACTTATAGTAATCATTCTGCGATATGTACATATATCAAATTATGTTGTACACCTTAAACTAATATAGTGTTACATGTCAATTATATCTCAATACAACTGGGAAAAAATAAGGGCAAAATCAAGATAATTCCAGAAAGATCCTAACTTGAGGATATATTTTCTGAGATTAAGATTGTAAGAATTAGGGCGCCTGGGTGGCTCAGTCGGTAAAGCGACGCC